TTAGAACAATCCTAGGGGGTGGCGTCATTAAAAATCCGACTTTATTTTTTCACATACATTTTTGGTACCACTTTAATGTACATATGTGTATTAGAGTGGTCCTTAAAAATATCAACATCATGGGGCACCCCTTTATTTTGTTCTGCGTACATATGTACAAAATAAAGACATTCGAGTAATTTTCAAAATTAAAAAAAAAAAATTGTGAATAGCGACCAAAATAAAGACATCCACGAAAATTTCAACATTTTTAATAAACTTTTAAGGGTCGCAAAAATTTTGCAAATTTTTGACTTAGACCAGCAAGCAAGTTTCATTAATATGTAAAAATAAGATTTCAAATAAAAGGAATCAAATTTTTTCAAACCCTGGATGTGTTTATTTTGTACGGGGATCACCCTGATAAATATCCTTGGCCATAAAAAAGATTTTCTTTAAATATTTGTTGAACGTATGTATGTAGATTCCGTTTTTATCCGGTTAGCCATAATTCTGGATTTTACAAAAAAACAAACGACTATCATATTTGTACAGGATTGCCTTGTAGAACTATGGACAGAAAAAAATCATGAATTTAAAAGCCTTTAAAATACCAACATTCAAATGTTTATACAATAAATTTCAACAATAAAATACGCATCTTTTAATGGAATATCCTTTTATTAAATCCACTGCAGTAAATTCAAGGTTAAACATCAAATGTGGATATGGCCACACTGTGGAAGTGAAACGCCTTTTTAATTATTAACCGACTTCCAAAAAAGGATGAGGTTATCAGTTCGTCGGAATATTTTTTTTTATTTTTTTTATGTATGTTACCGCATAACTTTGCACCACGTCAACCGATTTGAATAATTCTTTTTGCAACGGAAAGGTAGTGTCTCAGAGGTGGTCCCATACTAATTTTAGTTTAGATCCGATCATTGGATCATGAAATATATAGACATATATATATTTTTTTTAAGTCGGTTTTTTTTTTGCTAAAAATTACTTTTTTCTAGTTAGTTTCATATTGTGCACTCCGTGGATTCTGGGGTAAATTTTTGAAAAAATAAAAAATAAAAAATTTTATTGAAAATCAATTTCAATCAAGTATCTACGATCTTATCGCATTTTTCGGATAGTTTCATAATTCTATCGGTGTAGAGCTTCTGTGATTTATCGGCTAAAAACTTGACCAAGTTATTTTCAGCGGCTCTTTGGTCGGCCAATTTTTTACCATCAAGAAAGTTTTGCAGGTACCGAAACAAATGGAAGTCGGACGGTGTAAGGTCCGTGCTATCCGGTAGATGCATTAAGACTTCCCAATCAAGTTCCGTGAATCATCAAAGATTTGTGTGGCTTGACATTGTTATGATGGAACACTACTCCGTTTCTGTCGGTGATGGTCATACAAATTTCTTTGCGTGGCAGGCAAACATCGCGCGTGTTTGAGTAGGCTGCTCATTTTAGATGATTCCAAACTGTCATGTGGTTGATGTTTGGTGCGTCCGCTATCTCCTGCCAGCTTGCATGCCGGTCTTGATCAGCCATTTGCATTATTCATTGACTTTTCCAGTAACTGAGCGACCAGAGCGAGGTGCATCTATGTCATCAAAATTTCCGCAATGGAATCGAGCAAACCACTCCTGGATCCGGCGTTCACTCACAACATTTTCACCGTAAACTTCATAAATTTTTCAGCGTTCTCATCTTTTTTATAGTAAAAAAAGCATCACATAGCGCATTTCTTCAGATATTTCAATCAGTTCCAAATCAATATAAATTTTTGTACGAGCGTCAAATTACAGAACTGTCTGCACTAAAATGTAGCCTGAAATGTTACCTTTCTAAGGCACGGCGGTTTATCGTATGTTGTTGGATTAGTGTTACCAGATGTGTAGGCATATATTGTGACGAAAATCCGCAGATACTTTTCATATGACCTAATATGTATTATTCTGAATATTGGTTATGGTCTTAGTCCTCCCAATCATTTTCGTATTCTTCTTCGCCTTCGTATTCGTTTTCGTCTTCGTTTTCATATTCGACTTCGTGTTCATCTTTGTATTCGTCTTCGCCTTCTCAATCGTATTCATTTACGAATTCGTTGTCGTCCTCGTAATCATCTTTGTATTCTTCTAAGTATTCATCTTTTTGTTCGTCTTCATCTTCTTATTCGTCTTCGTTTTCGTTTTCGTTTCCGGCTCCGTATTCGTCTGTGTATTATTCTTCGCATTCGCATTCGTTTATGTCATTGTAATTTGTTAGCTTTTCGCCTTAGCACATTTCGATAATTAACTCTCGACCAGTGTAACCAGATGACCACAAAAATTTAATTTTGAAAAAGCGTTAGAAAAATGTATATGCTATCAAAAATTAATTTAAAAAGAAGTCAATTCCCGAAAAAAACTCTTCACCAACTCCACAAGTTCTGTGTTATTTTTGAACGGTAAAAGGTAGTTTTCGAAATATTAAGAATTTTTAGTATTGCCGGTCCGAATTTCATTATCAAAATTAGCAGCAAAAAGCTTCAAAAAGGCTAACCTGATCACACTGCTCTCGATGTTACTCTTTCGTACGTGTTTATTGATATATCTGTACTGTAGTGTTTTCGGACGGTACTAGCTCTTACTGCCAATATAGGAGTATTACATATATGTTCTGAATAAATAAAAAAGTTGTCATAAAGAATCAGAAGAAGAGGCATATACCTATGTACATATGTATACATATATATATATATATGGCCATTCTTCTACTTTTTAATTCTCGTTGTATTTTACAACCTTAACCAACAATTATTGCTGCTAAACAATAAATTAACTAGGTTTAAGACTAATTATATGCATTAAACCATATAAAAGAAAATAAATAAAACAAAGACAACTTTTTATTAGTCGGAAGGTTCGCTGGGTTTAGGCGTTATTACATACTTTATTTTTATAATTATGTATATATAAAATATAAACACACACCGACAGCACTTGCTAGCATGAAACTCCAAGGTAGGTATGTATACATTATAGCTAAAAATAAATGTGAATTCAAGACAGCATTTGCATTTTTTTATTATTGATGAGATTGCAGTCAGTTTGGTTGTTTAGGTGCCTGATTTGCTAGCTGGTGTAATGAGAAGTCGCAGTGGCGTTTGCCGCAGTGGAACAGTGAGGTACACCGAAACCGGTATGAAGTCAACTTTATACATATTGAGGCCGGTTCCGAAGTAAGGCAACTCAAAGTCAAGTAAACGCTTTAAAATTAAGCATGCCACGACCAGGCTGTATGCCAGACGTCCTTATAGCAAAGATACGTATGCACTGCAGTTGGCCATAAAAAAATTATGACAGTTTTTATTCGGTATATCATACATACAACAATATGTATGTATATTCGTATAATTCAAGTACGCAAAAGGCACCTGCGAATGACGTTGAAAGTGCTTCAATACAACAAATATATGTACATAGACATCTACCCAACTATGCGCATGGAAACACGCATACATATAAGGATCAAAACTAAAAGCTCTTTTCATTCATTGCCCATTAATTGTGTGGCCTTTCCGCCTTTTTCGCTATCTGCATCATGCACGCATCATCTTTTACTAAACATTAAGTTGCTTGTGTTGAACGTTATCGCGAACAAATCAAAGGATTTTAAAGTGTAAGAAAACATTCCCAGCAGGATGTAGAAAACTTCGAAATAGAAATCATTGCACAAAGGTCACAAGTAAAACCTGAATAACTTGATTTCCGCTCAAACCATATTTTACATACATATGTATGTATATGAAATAAAAGTTTTTTTTTTTGGAAATTATTGTTAATTAATGACACGTCCGTAGTTAGTAAATTGTGAAGATGATATCCTTTTCGATTTTAATGCTCCTTTCATTGGAAGCATTTTTAGAGGTCCATTTTTGTTTATTTAATGCAGGCGTCAGCTTGTAGGCGCAAGTACGGTTGATTAGATCGCAAGGGTTATTTACCGAATCCCGAAAAATTTTTTCTTGCCGGAATGCTCGAATGGAACACTATATGTAGTCTGAAGAAGACCGACCATTAGCTCTTAATATGTTCGGGATCGATTCCTACAGTCGGCGACCATGGGTGGAAAGTGAAACCAAGGCTGGCGACAAACTAGCATACATACTTTTACATAAGCGGAAGAAGTGGGAGCAGCATCTGAAGATTTGTAACTTCACTTTGAGTATACTAAGATTTAGTCTAATTTATCATCACTTATTTTGTTATAGAATGGTGACGTAGAACCCTGGTCAAAAGATGATTGACTCGGTTTTTAACCGACTTCAAAAAAAGGAGAAGGTTATCAATTCGTTACCGCATAACTTTGGACCACGTCAACCGATTTCGATAATTCTTTATACATCGGAAAGGTAGTATCTCACAAGTGCTCCCATACTAATTTGGTTTAGATCCGATCATTGTTTCATACAAAAATTAACGGTATTGCTAAATTTTTATATGAGAATTTTTTGGTTAAAAATTACTTGTTCCAAATCGGTTTCAGCCGGTTTTTCTGTAATATTTTTAGGCGGATTTTTCCCAATGATGTATTTTCCGTCAATCCTTGACACATTTTGTTTGGAGACAAACCGGTTTCGGCGTTGTGCCATCTTCAGTGTCATTTTTCCGGTTTTCTCCGACCCAAATTTGACAAAGGATGACGAAAAATCGTTCCACAATACATTATACTCATACCCTGGCGGAAACACCAACAACGAAAATGAGAAGATTTTTTGAAATCTTATTTTTTCCAATACCGAGTAAACCGGACTTTTACAATTGAATAAACAGGGGTTTTCAACTAGGTTGTGCTGCCAAATAAAATGATTACATATTTAAAAAAACATTTTATGCATAAATGATTTTTCTTTGAAGTGTTGCACAATTATTTTAAGAAAATTCGAACCTAGTCCGAAAGAACTTTAACATGTCTTGCCTTCTAGCCCTGCTAACGCATTTTGTACTACATTTAGCACCAATGTAATCACTCACCTCTTACCAGAGAGTTGATAAAAGCGATTGCCGGATGATTAAATTACTTTTTTTAATCGTTTTTCGGTGAGTTTCTAACTTGCTCGCTTATGTGTATGTGTGTATGTAGTTCTCTGGCTAATTGCACGCTTTCCAGTTGTCTACTATGTACTTTTTTTCTAATATTTTAATTTTTTATTATTTTATGTTTGCTATTCTCCTCTACACTTTTTTATACATGCCGAATTGGCCACAAAACACTTTTCACTTCAGTTTTAAGTTGTTGCATTTAACGATTTTTATTTTTCTATACACTTTCTAGTTGGTTTTCGGAGGAAAGGTACTAACTGGGTTGATTGGTAGAGCAGTGCACGTTTTTTGTGTTTGTAAATTCACTTCACACATGCGTTTTGTGGATTTTTCATATTCTCGGATTTATTTTTGATTTTTCGTTTTTGCTATTTTATATTTTACTTTTTCCACTTTTTATCCTTTCTCTCTCTCTGCGCTTTTAAGTAATATGTATGTATGTAAGTGTGTTTTATTGACTTTCACGAAATGCGAATTTCCAAACTCACTTTATACATATAGAATGTAAGTACACCACAAACACTCGCTACTACCAGGCGTTTATGCAGTAAAGAAGTTCCCACATGCTGCAAAAGTAAGCGCTTTGACTGTGAAAGAAAGCCGGTGTCGCTGTGGATAGGAAGTGTGTTGAAGCACTCTTCAGTGCAGCTTGTTGTTGTTTTACTGTTGTTGGTTGTGACGGTGCAGTGACACGCCTTGTTGCATTGCTGCAGCTTCAATTGCTGCTCCTACAACTTTGGTTGCTCTTGTTGTTGTTGTTGATATTAAGCAGATGGGTAGTTAAGTAGTTGGTGTTGGCATTCCAGTTTGCCGTTGTTGCAGCTTAGGTATGATGTATTGAATTTCAAGTATCAATTTGATTTACTAGCCCACTTTGTTTTTTGTGTCGGTTGGCGATTGACAGCACACCGCACTACACCACTACGGCGTTTAAATTCCGCAACTTTGCAATGAAACAGTAAACTGCTCCTCGATCAACACACACGCGCTATTGAGTTCTCCACAACAACTTAATGCAAATCAACTTGGAATATAACTTAGTACTTTACTAGGTGTTATAACGGTCTCGTTGGTAAAACGCGCGTACGGCTCATTCAATATCACGTCGGCGACTAAAACTACCTGCGATCAGGTATATTGCGCTTTGCCACTTGCCAAACAGCGAAACAACAAAGCCAGCCAGCCAACCCATCTATCCACTCAGCAAGTGGAATGCGATGCGCTGCAGCGTTGGCGAAGTCTCTGCTCTTCATTCGCTGCTAATGCTGACGACGCCGCCGCTGCTGGGCTCCATTATACCAAAGCGCTTATTTGAAGCCGCCGCTGCTGTTGCCACCGCTTTGGCGCAAGCTTTCGTTGCGGCGCGGCGTGCGCTTTCGAAAATAAATGAAAAATCGCCGAACAGCCATTCATTCGGCTTGGCGAAGACTTCGAAAAGAAACTCAAAACGTATGCGCGGTAAGTCTTAAAATAAACATGAAAAATAAATGTAAAGAAACCGAAAGCACCAGCGTTGGTGAAGTCGTCGACGTCGTCGTTTTTGCACGTTGTGAGAATTCGCTTAAGCTGCTAACAGCTGCCGCAACACCGACGCTTCTGTCAACTTTTGCGTTATGTTAAAATTACTATAGCTGCGCGCAGGCGCGTGTTCGCCACTCTGCTGCTGTTGCGGCAACCATAAGCATTCAAAGCGCGCGCAGTTGTTTTTTTGTTTTATTTAATTTTTTTAATTTTATGTTTCCCTTTTTTGTTTCTGTTGGCTTCCAGCCACAAAGCTATTCATTCAGTTACTTTGTTTGTACTGCCAAAGCGCAGTTGTAGTTCTTAGCTGTTAAATAGTAGTTGGCACAACTTGACTGGCATGAAAATAAACAAAGCTGCGTTTGTTCATACAAAGCGTGTTTTTTATTTTTATTTTTAACAAAACAACAGCAATAACCTGACAGTAGATATTTGCCTTATGAATACTTGAAATTCTGCAACTACCTGCGATGCTGTTTTTTTACGTCGTCGATCTTATTTGTGTTTAAATGCCAAGCTTCTGTTATGGCCTTTTCATATTCTATAGCACTAATAAACTGTCAAAACAAGGCAAAGCAGCATATGATTTCATTATACACAAAGAAATATTGCTGGGCAATTTCAAATATTACTACACACAGTATACAGTAATCCAGATAGGCAAAACAAAAAAATGTAAATATGCTTATTGGACAATTTATTTGAATGTATTCGTTGATATTTTTTCACAGTTGTCGTTTTCTTTAACCCAAATGAAATCCAATTTCAATATTTTCTTATAGTGGAAAATATTTTCAAGTCACATAAAATAAAACAACGAGAAAAACAAAATTCCTAGCAAATCAGGCTTGCAGCGTAAGCGATTATAACCGGATGCAGTTCCTACTTGAGTCATATCTGGTTCAAAATACAACTTTGAGTGAATAATGGTGGGCTGATTTTGGAAAATGGACCCATAAATTAGGGGGTAAAACAAGTATTACTTAGCTTAAAGGTAGAACTCTCTAATTTTTAAATATACCACTCTTATAGTGGAGACCTATAAAGTTTTTATGAAATATCTACCCAAAGTTATATATCGACGCTCGAACTAATGCGGGAAAGGTTTATGCAGATAAGCAAGGCCGTTTTTCAACGGTATAAAAAGTATATACATATTTATCAAAATATTCAGAATGACGAATTGGTGAATGAATTGGTTCAGTCGTGTCTGTTTGCAAACACGCTAACTCGAACAAAATTTAGATATTTTAACGAAAGTCGGTGCCGAATTTGCCTTTGGTATAATTTAGGTTAGTGTTAAATTTTGGCGAAATCTGTCAATAACCACGACCACCTCCCATGTAGTAAACAACAATATTTTTGTTTTATTATTATTTTTTTAACGAATTTCCCTGTTAAAATTTACATTTCAAACATATCAACAAACATTTGGGGGTACTTTTGCACCAGTCATTGCCTATGGGTTAATAACAAAATAATCCTATACATGCACTGTGATTACTACATAATAGATGTCATACGTAGGTACTGTTACTTACTACAGGAACTCTAGTGGACTGGTATTTGGAGACGAGCTTTAGTCTTTCCTAAATATGCGTGCTTTGGAAATGGGCTCTACATTGGAACTGTGGACAATGGGCAAAATGCGCGCACAAATTATACCAGAGGCTGCGGTGAAAGCCAGGCCACAGAAAATGCACGTGCTTCCCCAAAATTTGTCATAGGAAGTGTATGTTGTGCCCGATTTTTGCTGTGTAGGGGAATATGCTTCGGTCGCGTCTAGCTTAGGGTTGTTCGACTTCACTAGAAAGTCGACTTTCGACTTTTCGATCGACTCTGTACAGTCGACTTTAAAAGTCGACCGATCCACGAAGAAAAGTCGACTTTGTTCGACTTTTTTAATAAAAATAAAATGTATTAAGTATACTCCGCATTTAACTCATATATTAGCTATAAATATAAGAGTCAGAATACGCCAAAAATATCATGATTTACAAGTGGTCTTTAGAATAATCTGTAATTTAGTGAAATTCAATGCTAGGTAAAAAACAGACACTAAAGGATTTTTAAAAATTTTGAAAATTGTTCCAGTTATACAGCATGAAAATGTTGGTTGTGAGGGTTTTTAAAAATTATATTTTTGAAAAATAATTAAAAATTTTTTAAATTTTCACAAAAAAAAATTCTAAAAATTTTTTGAATCGATATTTGGTAATTACGGACAACTTTTTGAAAAATGTGGCCTTTCCGATGGAGCAGAATTGGCGGGTATTGGTAGAAATATAAGTGCCACTTTATAAGCATGGATAAATATGGGAGTAGCCCAGACAGCTAGTGGATTGGGACTATCCACACGACTAATGTCGCATATTAACTGGAATCCTACCAGCAACGTTTTTAGCGGTGTTTAAAATGTTGTACCTTACGGATTGGTCAAATTCGAACCAAAAACTGTCTGTAGAAACTTACATAAACTCATGCTGAAAAACTTTCTTGCATGAAATTTTTAAAATAAATACCTATGTTTATCTTACCTCATTATTAACTGAAGATTGTGGAGACAAACGATTAACAAATTTGAGGAATTTGTTTTCGTATAGTAATTTTATGCGCTGCTTTTAAATGGTTTGACAATGTTGTTGTACTGTCATTAAAATTCATTTCTCTACCACACTTTTCAAATTTCACTTCAGTTTTATTGGCAATTTTTTTTTAAATACGATCAAACAGCACTCCGCGCCCTTGTTAGAAGATCAGTTTTTATATGCAAATAATTTAAAAAAAGTCGAGAGTCGAAAGTGAAAAGTCGACTTCAGTCGACTTCCATAAACTGAAAGTCGATCACTAAAATTCGACTCCTGAAAGTCGATTTTGGTCGAAAGTCGAAGTCGACTTTGCCATCCCTAGTCTAGCTAATAGACACGCTGGCTCGTTTGATGCGAGATGGATTCGTTAAATGTATCCAGCCACTATAGTGGATTGAATAAGACCGCAGATGTTCGCAATAGGGCCATTCTTTTGTGTGCTGTGTGGCAAGTGGCAACGTCCTGTTGAAACCAAATATTGCCCATGTCCATTTCATCTAATTCAGGCCATAAAAAGTATGTTATCGTGTCACGATAACGGTCACCGCAATAGCGTTTCCGGCATCATTTTCGAAGGAGTACGATCCGATAACTCCCCGAGTCCAAAAACCGCACCAAAAAGTGACTCGCTATGGATGCATGGTTTTTTCTCGCAGTGGGTGCAGTTAGCCTTGTTAACGTATCCGATTAGGTGAATATGTGTCTCTTCGCTCCTGAAGATTTTTTTTGTTAAAAACGGCAACAACGTTTTGATAACTTTTACGCGTTTTTCAACTGAGTATCGTTCCATGACTTAGTTTTCCAAAGCCTACAGTACCATTTGTCTGAAAATAAATAAACATTAACATATTACAAATAATTGCTGTCAAAGATGTGCATCACCCCAAGAGACAAACTGCTTGGATGAAATCATGTTCGAGTAGAGCTCTCATCAAGACCAAAATAAAGTTATCCATGAGGAGCTACTTAGTTGGACGTGCCGCTTTTCAATGGAAGAAGGCAGATCTCGAATCGATACAAACCAAGCAAGAGGGGGTAATGGTATTTGACTAATAAAATGAAAACGAGTCAGCTTTGGGCTACCGGACGGCCAATCAATTAGCCGTAGAAATGGAGCTCGGAACATGATTTTGCCTTATGAGCTGGCGCGGAGTCTTTTTGAAACAGAGCACACATACTATGTACAACCTCCCGCCGTGTTTACCGAACAACTCTTGTAAATTTTCGCGTCAGTAAACTGAAGTCATTTGCGACAATTTTTTTAATGATTTTGGGGGTATCCACGGTTGCCATGTGTCCGGTTTTTGATAGAACAGTCCGGATTTTAGTCTGTTCGTCCGGATGGCAATAAAAAAAACGGACTGTGAAGTGTGTGATCTGTTTAAACACACACATACATAACCCTCAACCCCCTCTTCCCCCTCCCCTGTTTCATCCTCTCGAGAACGAAAAGTGTCCGGTTTTTGAAAAAAACTGGCAACCCCAGGTGCGTCTTATATATGCTGAGTGCCTAAGTATTGTTTTATGATGCACTGATATTTATTTCCCGGAACACTATTTTCTGCTTGCACAGTGGATTTCAACCAATTCTATTCTCTACGGATTTAGGGCGCAGATGACCGAGTTTTCCACGACCGATTACATACAAAAATTAATATACTATAAATATATTTAACTCCCTAACTCAGATACAAATTTTCTCAGCGGATAAATCGTGATCTATCTAGAATTCTCAACAACCTTATGAAGTGTGGAAATTTTTAGCTTTTTAAAAGTAATTCAAAAGTCAAACAGCGAAAATGAACATAGTCTATAATTCTCATCGAACTTATGTCAAATTGCGTATAGGGGATGACTAATACATAACATAGACCAATTCACCTAGATATTTAACCCCTCATTTTACCGTAATATTTAATATTTAAGTAAATAATTTAGTTATTTTCTTTCTTATTTTTTGTATTTAAAATACTTTTAAACATAAATCACTACCGGGGTACCGTATGAAAAATTAACAGATTATCTTTCTAGGGTTAAAAAGCTTTTCAAGGATAGGAAATAGAAGAAAGGTATTCTTGA